AAATAAAAGCTTAAATTGATGAATTGCAATCAACGACGGTAGATGTGGTCTTAAAATATTAATTTCACTGCAATTTGTAATATTTTATTCCGCATAAATCTGTGGTTATCAAAAATGTACTGCTATCAAAAAATATTTCATTTCACACAGCAGATTGGCAAAACTGTCTCACCATAGTAAAAATATTATTCAGCAGCCCTGCCCATAGAACTTTGTTACCGATTCACACACGCCCTAATTCAAATATCTGAAATTACAGACTTTAACAATTTGTAAAGTATTTTTAGTTCGATGTTATAAGTGCCATAGCAGCGAAATCGAAATATATGCACCTTATTTTGGTTTTAAACGATTTTTTCAGCACTTAATCTTATAAAATTCGTTGTTTTTATGTTATGTAAAAGCAACCTTACGTCAATAAATGCTCAACCTTAACAAAAATATGTAGCTCTTCATTTTAGCTACTATTAGTATTATTTAGCTTTTTTCGACCGTTTTAGCTCCAAACGAAATTTCTCTGGCAACACTGCGTAAATCATTCAAAATGCTTAACATTCATTAAATATACGAAATGTTATTTCTCGCTCAGCTCTGTTACTCCGCCGCTCTTATGTTCCACAGCAGTGTGGGCTGGTGTGGTGTGTACGCGATCAGATTTTGATAATTTTTGACAATTTACACTCTGATTCGTAATTGCTGCTTCTCTGTATTTAACGTTCTCTGAAGTATCCAAAAGGCTGCGATTTTTTTTTGCATTCCGGATAATTCCATTTCACAGCCGGAATAAACAGAGTGCGTTTGAAATATACGTTAATATATCATCAGAATTGCTATAAGTTCAAGTGTTTTATCCGATATCATATAAATTAATAAAGAACTATGGCAAAGGCTTAATGTAAAGAATCGGTATCGGGTACCGAAAGCGAAGTATTGGGTACCGAAATCTATTTTAAGTATTGGGTACCGACTATTCGGCAAATTACTAGCCTCTACTGTGTTGCACTTTTGATTTTTTGTAGTGCATTCTTTTGCTTGGAAACATTTTTACCCTACAATATTTTCGCACCGTCTAATATATAGTAAATAAACAAGTTTTTGCTTTACCGACATTAAATAAATTCGCCAAGATTCAGAATATACCAAGCCTGAAACTGGATAGGATGGAGAAGATTAACTCGACGCTGGGGGCCGTGAGGTCTCTGCGTTCTAGCGTTCGACAATGCTTCGAGCACTTGGCAGATGGCACCAATGCCGAATTGGCTGAGGATAACCGGACCAAGTTTCTCCTCAAATTCCAGGAGAATTTTAATAACATGAATGCTCAATTAAGGTAAAATATGCATAGGACTAATGCTACAATTAGTCTCATTCATTGTATGTATGACCAGTACACATAATTTGTACATGAAAATAGGGAAGTCGAGAGTTTAATTAACGGCTTGCAAGCACCACAAACACCTTACTGTTTAGGCCAAACTACTTATCTCGCACAAGAGACTGCCCCGGATCGACAAGCGTTGTATTCTCAACTCGTGAATAGCTACAAGTGGATCGATAAGGTTCATGACCACAGTTTTTTGGCTTTTAACAACCTCAACCAAAACAATCTCCGGAGGTCATACACATACTGTTCGCAGAAGCGTGGGCGCATACCATTTACGTCATGTAACAATACCGATCCGGAGTAAGTTTATTCGCGGTGGAACTGTAGGCAAGGTCAGCTTAGGAGTTTATGAACGTTTTCTTCTTTATTTATTTAGTCACACAGATAAGCTATTGAGTGAAATAAATTTACCGCTGACAAGCTATCAAGTTTGCCGTCCATTCGGTTCTAACGTTGTTGTAATTGTAAGTATTTGTGGTAACCAAACAAGGTGGAAATAAAAGATTAGCGCCTTCTTTTAGGTTACAATTAGTCGTGTGCTTAAGGCAGCCATCGTTTGCAAGGGTGTTCTGATTGAGTGGGTAACAGTCAAGGGATTCGATGAAACGCTGGATCCAGACGATTTGTGGACGGAATCACGATATGAAGTATTCCGTAAAGTGCAAGAACATACACACATTGCGATGTTGCACTTCTTCTCGCCTACCTTGCCTGATTTGGCAATTAAAAGCTATATGGTAAATACAATTTACTTAAAAAAACATACAAATATATGTATGCCTTTTATGAATAATTTCAGACATGGCTACACAGCTACAGTAAGCTTTTCTTGGAGGCATGTAAACGATGTGGCAAATTCGTTTCGAACGGCTTGCCGCCAACCTGGCGTGATTTGCGAACATTAGAGCCTTTTCACGAGGAGTGTCGTAATTGCTAAACACAATAAAGAAAAACGTAATGTATTTGTATAGTTTTAAATAATTTCAATATATATTTGCAGAAACAATAATAATTATTCAAAAATGTACTTAAGCATTCTTGATTTGCAACACATTATGCATTATTAAGGACTGCTATGCAGTTATCAGACTGCTTTATGCTCAGCGTGTAATCACTTTTGCAGCATTTACATGCAAGCTGGTCCTGATGAGCTGCATTTGGCAGTGTTGCTGCCAGGCAATTTGCCACTTTTATGCTGCTTACACAAGCGCGCAAAATTCTGCCTTAAAGTTTCGCGCAATTTTAGACGTTGCTGCTCCACCTTTTCGCGCTGGCATTGATACTCCAGAACCACTTCCTGTGGAATGTAACCGTTTTCTTCATCATCATCGTACTCGTCGACATTATCCTGTAAAAAAAAAAACAAAAAAAACTAAATTAAAATATGACTTTTTAATTGTGAATAAAGACACAAATACATACATACATATGTACTACCTAACCTTTAATTATTGAATCATGCATATATTGTGCTTATCTATGTATATACAGCTGCGCCCAAAATGATAATAGCAAAATTCAAAATGATATTTGGGGTGTTCACAGTTCGTTCCTAATTGTGATAATGACCCGGAGCATACAAGTAAGCTAGCAAAATTGTGGTCTAGTGATAACGGAATTGAAGTCATAGAGTGGCCAGCTCAATCTCCTGACCTCAATCCTATAGAAAACCTTTAGACAAACCTTAAGAAAACCGTATGGGATCTAAAACCAAAAAATAACCACGACCTATGGGCCGCGCATGGCAGTCAATACCTCAGGAAAGATGTCAACGCCTCGTAGACTCCAAGAGAAATCGTATGCAGCAGTGATTAAAAACAACGGTCATGCTACCAAATAATAAGTAATTGTGCTAAATTTTAGGAATTAATATTAAATTTTAATACAAATTTAAAACTTTTTGTTATGTACTACTATTTTTCTGCTCGCAGTAGTTTCCATGAAAACACATCTTACATGGATTAATTTTTTTAGTGTTTATGTAAATAAAACTCTTTTGACCACACATTTAGTTATGAAATTGTCCTTCACTTTTTCAATATAAAGAATGCAACTATTATTTTGGTTTTCTAGTAATTTAAAAATATGTTAACCGTAAGTGCACACTACTATTTTAGTGCTTGCATATATATATATATATATATTATGTATATATCTATATCTACAGATGTATATCTATATCTACATCTACATCTACATCTATCCTGTAGTTCTGCTGGTTGTTGTTGTTGTTGTAGCGGCTACAACAACCCCGCCCAGATCGGTTGATATGTCAGTCGTTGTCGTCAAGTTCCACTAACGGCAGCCCTAGGAAGCGTGCAGCCTTTATCGGGTCGGCCTACAGGGACAAAGCCGTTAGGGTTGTCGGGTTTTCCGGGCATGCGAAGAGATGTTTCGAGTGATGTGGGGTCTCTCCGCATGCCGGACACTCATTTGTCACAGCCTCATTCAGTCTACTCAGGTATGAGTTTAACCTGCTGCATTGGCCAGAGCGAAGTTCGGCTATTGTTGTTCGTGTCTCCCGAGGCAGATGAAGCTCCGTCTCATCTATGTCCAGTGGTGGTGTGCCTAGAACGGCATTCACAGGTCCAGAGTCTACATAACTCGAGACTGGCTCCCTGTGAATGCCGTTCAGGGCCAGTCGGTAAGCTGACGGGTCCAGAGGCTGCTTGACGAACCTCTGGACTTCGTCCGTCAGTTCGTATAGATGCCTCCTGACGTGCCTAGGCGAAGCAGACAGCTACTTGCAGAGCATTATGTTGTGCTCCTTTATAGGAAGCATTTGTGCCTCGTTGTGGAGGTGATGTTCTGGCGACATCAGGAGGCATCCTGTCGCTGTCCTGAGTGCGGTGTTCTGTACAGTCTGTAGCTTCGTCCACTGCGTCCTACTAGTCCCCGGCTACCACACTGGTGCTGCGCAGTTTAAAACCGGCCGGCCTTGTATGTTTCCAACAACGTTTCTTTGTCTTTGCCCCAAGTACTGCCGGCTAGTGACTTGAGGACCTTGTTGCGGCTATGTACTTTATTGACAATAGCGTGCGCAGAGAAGGAGAGCAGGCTGTCGAATGTTACTCCGAGTATTTTGGGATTATTCACCATCGGAATTGGTGTGTCATCGACGTGAATTTACAGCGGTAGCCTGACCGCCTTCGTCCAGGTTGTGAACAGGGACGCAGAAGATTTCGTAGGGAGAGGGCTAGACACTTTGCAGTGAAGAAGCGAGAAAGATCGGAGAGATACCCGTTTAATTTCGAACACAGGTCATCAATTCCATTCCCAGTCGCCGTGATCGAGCAATCGTCGGCGTAAGAGACAATCCAGACTCCCTCTGGTGGTTGAGGGAGCTTTGAAATGTAGAAGTTAAACAGTAGCGGGGAAAGGACACCACCGTGTGGAACCCCCAGTTTTATTTTTCTGAGTTTACTCGATTTGTCTCTAAACATTATCGACGAGTGTCGACCACTCAGATAATTTGCCGACCACCGTTTGAGCCTCTGTGGAAGAGAGGAAGCCTCTATATCTTCTAGTAGGAATGGCAGACGGTGTCAAACCCCTTTGACAAGTCCAACGCTACTAGAATCGTTCTCTCACAGGGACGGTTACGGTTAAGGCCACGGGTTATCTGAGTATTTATGGCTTTAAGTGCTGTTGTTGTACTGTGCATTTTACGGAAACCATGCTGATGCTTCGCTGGGGTCAGGTGGTTTGGGAAACACGGGAGCAGCAAGGCCTCGAGTGTCTTCGCTACCGCGGAAAGGAGTGTTATCGGCCGATACGAATCTCCTCCCCGGTTTGAGCAGTGGGACCACTCTCCCCACCTTCCAGATGTCTGGGATGATGAGAGTGGCCATTGACAGATTGAGGACCTCCGTTAGGTACACTACTCCCGCAGGACCCAAATTTTTCAGCATTAGCATGCATATTCCATCGGGACCCATGGCTTTGGAGGCTTTCGCCTTCCCGATGGCCACTGGAACTTCACCGCAAGTGAAAGCAAGGGGGCACAGGTTCTTGGCAGTTTGTGCAGCCTTCTGGTCACTCGACGCTTGGCTTTGTCCACCGGAGGATGCAGTATGAACTGTCGGCTAAAATAGCTCGCGCATCGCTCCGGGTCCGTCGAAGCATGGTCGCCGAAAGGAATTTCGACTCTGTCGTCGTGCTTCGTCGGATTGGACAGTGACCTCACGGTTGACCAAAGCTTACTCACATCAGAGGTGAAGTTATAGGTCTTCAGATGCTCTTCTCACTTCTTCCCGCTTATGTACGTTCACTAGTTGCCGAGTCTCCGCGTTGAGATCCCTGATACGGGGATCTCCAGGATCGCCTGACGAAGGCTATCACGCTCATCGGCTAGAACATCCGCTTCAGCAGGGAAATTTGGACGTGGGTCCGTAATACATCCTGCCGGTACGAAGCGAGCTGTAGCAGCGGTGGTAGCCCTGCGGAACTAACGTTCACCAAGGTGGACGACGGTTGGTGTGGGGAGAGCAGCGAAGGTGTTTTCAGTAAATTCCGCGAAGCCTCTCCAATCAGCTTTAGAAAAATTGATATAGGTCCGGTGTTCCGCGGAAGCAAAGTCGGTTGGTTTATCGATCGAGATGACTATGGGCAGATGGTCTGATGCTAAAGTCAGCATAGGTCGCCATGATATGCTGTTTATCAGACCAGCGCCGACTATTGTTATGTCTGGCGAGCTGCAGCAACCGCCCATAATCTTGGTGGGTGTGTCGTCGTTCATTGTGCAGAATGTCGTATCGTCTATCTGCTCAGCCAAGTCAGTTCCCCTACGCTCGTTTGACAGGCTTGAGTGCCAAAGATCGTGGTGCGCATTAAAGTCACCTACTACCATACGGTTATCGCCTCTGAGGAGCGCACCTATGTCAGGGTGATATCCTGCCGGGCAGCAGGTGACAGGGGGTATATATACGTTAAATATTTCGAGCTCAACATCGCCTGACCGGACAGCAATGCCCTGACATTCTAGGGTGGTATCCCTGCGGTCGATGTCTGCTTCGATGAGACGATACTGCACAGTGTGGTGCGTGATGAACGCTAGGCTACCACCATTATCTCGCTCGCGATCTCGACGGTGCACGTTGTACCCGGCACAATTCAACTACGCTGAATTACTGTGCAACTTCGTCTCTTGAATCGCAGCTATCAATATGCCATGCCTTCCCATGAAGACGGTTATCTCCTCGATCTTGCTCTGAAGTCCGCCTAACGAATTTAACATGGCAATGTCATTGAAGCGTACCGAGAGGGTGCACGTGGTTTGTCCTTTCGCTAGCGATTACCTGGTGCACAAGTGACGATTACCAATGGCTAGCGTATTGCCTAACGACAGTAATGCATGAAATCGCTAGTATGTGATATTTTCAATACAAACGTCGCATAACCTGTCGCTAACGAATTGCCTAACAATCGGTGATGCATCGAATCACCAGCACCAGTCACCAGCAAAACTCCCGTTCCCTCGACAGTCGGGTCTACGTAACCGGAACGACCCAGATTTATATCTGGCCAAGGACTGTCACTCCAGCAACACTCCCCAAAAACCCTTTGGGGAACTTGTATGCTGCTACAACAACAACCAGCAAAACTCCAACAGAACTACAGGGTACATCTCCATTTATATCTATATCTATGTATATCTATATCTACATCTGAATCTATTATCTATACCTATCAACTGAGTATTCTTCAACTTCTTTATTAACCGACTTCCAAAAAAGGAGGAGGTTATCAGTTCGCCGGAATATTTTTTATTTATTTTTTGTTTTTTTATGTATGTATGTTATTTCGATAATTCTTTTTGCATCGAAAAGGTAGTGTCTCAGAGGTTTTCCCATTCTATTCTGGTTAAGATCCGATCATTGGATCAAGAGATATCCTAACTAATATTATAAATCCGAAAGTGAGTTTGTTTGTTTGCTACGCTTTCACGCTTTAACTACTTAACCGATCATCATGAAATTTTGTACACTGCTGTCATTTAGCCCAACTTAAAATATAGGATAGATTTAATCTCGATTAGACAAGGGGCGTGGCACCTCCCAAACAAACGGAATTTTTCATACTGCATTACTCAGGAAATATTTTGGAACTTTATATGGATATATAAAATCATTATTTACTCATGGATGAGGGCTGACACCCTTTAAAAAAATCAAATTTAACTTCAATTAAGGGAGTTATTTACTTCAAAATTATATTAAAAAATTGATGCCAAGAGGCTTAAAAAAGCGGTAGTGCGAATAAATTTTGAAAAGGGTTGCCACCTGTTTGAAAAGTCAAGTTTAAATTAATTATACGCAAGCTATCTAAAGAATTAAAATATGGTAGCCTAACGAAATTTTTTTAAGAATCCTTTAGTTTGAAAGTTTTGAATAATCTTTAAGTCTTTCACAAGGGTTGCCACCTTTTTAAAATTAAATTCAATTATATTAAATTAAGTATTACAGTAAAAGGCGCGCAATGGTCCTGGCGGTTGATTTTTCGGTGGTGATTTGAGATTTACTCCTGTACAACGCAACCCTGATGTTTCCGAATGAAGCTTTAACGCATAATAATACTAGAAAATCACATCCATTGGGCCAATCGTAAAACACAAGTGTTCGATATACTCAGTGGTGCAACAGGTCGATTTAATCTGATATTCACGGCACTTTTTCTAACTTGGCGATTATTCGTAATGACTCCAGCGCCACCTGACAGCCCTTTTTGGCAGTAGTATTGCCTTTACCGTTATCAATACATATTTTGAATATTAGCCAAAGTGGATCATAAATCAGATTTTTAGTAATAACTTAACTCTGGCGCTAACGGGCAAGTGAAATTGTGAAACCACACTATCCAGAGAGCCACTCAAAAGCACACAAAAAACTTTGTTAAAATCGTTCCGGGCATTTAGGAGGATTTCACACACAAACACACATACAATAGAATTATATATATGTGTTTGTACGGTGCCACGCCCTATTTCCAAATAGCCCATTTTTCTCCATGAGTATAAGATTGATTTCTTATATCGCCGGACCAAGTTCCAGTATTTTACCATGCACACTTCCAGAGATATGCAATATGAAAAAATCGGTTTGAATGGGAGGTGCCACGCTCTCTTTTTACATCGAAATTGTGTTTAGCCTATAACCATCCTTGGGCCATCTGGGGCAAGTGTCTGAAATTTCAAAAAAATCGGTTTTGCTGTTTTCGAGCTTTGCGAACACATAAAAAACGGCTTTCAAAATATATATTAGTATAGATTGGTATGAATCAAAATGGGTTTGTATATGTATCACAATATGTATCACATAGGTTGCCACCTTTTTAAAAGGTTAAATTCAAACTATTCAATATTTTAAATGATTTATTATAATATGGCTATCAATCGAAATGGGTTTTTAAGGGCATAATTTCAATACTACACGTAAGAGGTTTCCATCTGTTTAAAATCTCAAATTCAGTTCAGGGGATACGTTAATTGAAAAAGTATGACAAAGAAAGTTTTAGTTTGAAAATATTTTGAAGATGGTTAAACAAATTTTAAACCTCCTGGTTTTTAATTGAGTTTTCTTGAAATAAATTTTTCTCATGAAGCACGTAGAAATTTCATATACTCAGCGAAGCGGGTGAGGGCGATCTAGTATGTATATATATACTTTTTTTTTATACGAGAATTGAAGTCGGTTTTTTTACTAAAAATTACTTGTTTTTATTTGTTTACCCCGAACGACGTCGGGTGCTCTGCTAGTCTATATATATAACAAGTAATTTGTAGCAAAAAAACGACCTAAAAAAATATACATATATATATTTCATGATCCAATGATCGGATCTAAACATTAGTATGGGACCACCTCTGAGACACTACCTTTCGGATGCAAAAAGATTTATCGAAATCGGTTGACGTGGTCTAACATACATAAAAAAATATAAATAAAAAAAATATTCCGACGAACTGATAACCTCATTTTTTGGAAGTCGGTTAAAAACAGAATGGAAATCTAGACGCTCGAGGTTTGCGACACCTTGTCAAAAGTTTTCGAAAAAGCTGTGTAGACACAAAAAATATAAAAGAATTATCATAAGACTCTTTAGCGAGATACCCACTTTTTACTCAACGATGCATCGGCGTAGCCAGAATGAAATTTAGGGGGGGGGCTCGACCCTATTAAGTTGGTATTTCAGGGTACTATTTTATATATATATAAGGAAAATTTGAAAGTTAGGGGGGGCTCGAGCACCCCTCTGCCCCTACCTGGCTACGCCCATGCAACAATGCATTCGAAGAGTTTAGAAACGATACAGTTTAGAAATTGGTCTATAATAAAATCGAATTAAACTTTAACTTTGATTTTGTTGACTTTTTAGTGTAATGTTGAATTTCTTTTATATTAAGCTGTCTATTTTGCTCACAAGAAAAAAAAAGGTGTTCCAATATTGTTCATGGCCAATTGCTCATTAGCAACGCCTTCCCGCATGTGGCCATATCTAATACCTTTGCATGTTTTTTTTTAGCTCTTCATACATTTTTAAAATATCTACCACTATTGTTAAATTTAATAAAAAAATGCTTTTAAATGTGTACATACCAACATTTGCTGCAAGCTCAGCCAGTTCGTGTCACCATACTTCTGGTTTAGTAGGCTGTCTCGCCACATATAGCCACTGCCTATATCGTACATGCTGTTGTTATGTTCATCGTCTAGCCCAACATCTTGTCCATTTTCATGGTTACAGAAACCATCAGAACACGATACTTCTGAGCCTTCTGGTGTAGTGGCTGCACTAGTGATGGGTGAATTATCTGGTGTTAATAGCTCACTACCATAACCAGAATCGCGAACATCATTTTCGCATGGACAATGATCCTGTGGTGTTAAACAAACATCACATTTGGCAGCTGCAGCCTCTCCATCAATGACACAACAACTGTCATAGGCATTACACATTGCCGACGGCGATTCTTCTACTGTAGGCACCCGTTGATGTTGCTCCTGTGAAAGTGGTTTCTTTTTGCTGCCACTTGCATTTTGCTGAGTCTGTTTGTGCTTTTTTTGTTTCTTTTGCTTGCGTTTCTTTTGGGCTGCAGACTTAGACTCCACAACAGTTGAAAGATGGCGTTTGTCTGTTGACATCGATTCTTCGTTCGTTTCAGCACGTAGATTATCATCCATTATAACCACCAATTTATTTAACTCTTCGTCTAGCTCCTCTGATAAATCGACCGCTTCGTCTACCATTTCCAGACCGACATCTTCTTCTTGTTCGTCCTCTTCCTCCTCATCTGCCTCTGCTGTATCAGAATCGGCACTATCATTGGCTATGCCATATTTTCGACACAACTTTTCCTTTTTCTCCATCTTCTTTAACTTCTTTTTCAGTTTCTTTTGTTCACGTCTTAGTTCCTTTGCTTTTTCAGCGCGACTTATCTCCTGATAGAGTAATTCCAAGTTGCTAATACCTTGTTTACGTTCAACAGCCATATCAAAGCTTCGGCTCAGCGCATGCACACCGACAGCCGCCAACACCTGACATGCTCGCTCCTCTTCCCGTAGACTGACATAAATACGACGCAGTCGCTCATACATTATCATACCGACGCAGGTTAGTACTTCCTCCTGCGCGATTTCAAGAGTTTTAGCGTGACGCTCGCGCTGCTTTGAATAACTGCACAAACAAAACAGTAAAACGTTAAGTAATTTACAAACTAGTTTTGTCATTTTACACCTAAGTACATATGTATATTTACTAATAATAAAAATAAATTTACCTGCCGTTAACTTCTGGCTCGGCGCGCCTTATCAGAGCGTCGAGGAAGTCAACCTTTTTCGTAAGAATTTGAATATGCTTTTCGGTTTGCGGCCTTTTAATGCTTGCATATAAAGCCGCATCGAATCCTTCTTTGCAAGTCGTTTCGTTTACGAGTATTTGGTATGCCTTTTCGATCTGGGCAATTATTGAACTTTTTAGTAATTATTCTTTTATCAATTCGAAACACATATGTACCTTATTTCGACAACCCTGGCAAAACTTATGTTTTTTCAAATAGTTCTCGAGTACTTCGTGCAGTTCTTTAGTTTCGATCGTAGCCAATTCGTCGCGACAATTATACTTCATTGAGAACCATACTTCCCGCCAAACTTCCGAAAATGGTCTCGTGCGAAATGCATCCAACGAATGTAACACACATCGGGTTTTGTTTCGCAGTTTATTATCCAGTAGATTACTGAGTACCTCATGATGGCGATAGAGTAACGTGCCCAAAGCTTGAGGAGCCCACATACGTTCTTCGCGAATAGTAAGAACACAAGTGTCCTTTAATACCAATGGATCTAGAGTTGGATGGCCTGACAGCGTTAGTTGATAGAATAAACGTTCAACCCGGCGACGACAGCCCACACATGGCACACACTGATTAAGTAGGGAGACGAAAGTGACACTGTCTATTTCAAGCGATTGTCTCAGTTCCTCCGGTGATAAGAGTTTGTACTTGCGTGTAAATATTTCAAGCTCTCTTCCACGTATTTGTGGACTATCTATACAAAGCCCTTT